TAGAAATATATTGCAAATAAACTTAGGACTGTTGTTATAGATGTCTGACAGGTGGGAAATGACCTGCCTGAAGATGTGGGGTTGGAAAGAGATGGTATTTAAATGCCAATGAATGGTGTGCAATGTAGAACAGCTGTGTATCCAGGACAGGGTGGAGCAGATGCAAATCAGCATTAATCCAGGTTTAACAAATCATGCTGAAATGTGTGCTCTGAAGCAGTGAAACTTTAACATCCCTTCCAAGGTGCACTGTGTCCAGAACTGTGTTATTTGCCTGATGTTACTTCCTGTGGGGAAAGTCAGAACATCGACTAGATGCTGGGTGAGAAAAGTATTTCCTCTTCTGTGCAAAGCTGTTTTTTTCTTCCAATACTGCTTAATTTCATTAATTGTTCCTGTTCTAAGACAGCTGACAACTGTATAGCTCTGTAAAAGTAAAATATTTTGGTTCCGTAAAAATACAACCTGGAAGCTTTATAAAACAGAAAAAAAAATTAAGTCCACATGGGTGTGATAAAAATCTCTCTTAATTAAGAAAAGGTTAGGATTTGTCAAAGTGAAGCAGAGTGTTAGGACCATGACAGTTACTGCGAAATTAGGAGAGGAAAGGGAACTTAACTAATTGAAGGGATTATCTTTTTTCCTGTAAACACAGAGAACTTAATTGCATTGAGTCTTTGCTTGCTCGTGCAATCAGAATCACAGCTAAGCTGGTGATGCGTTGAAATCGGTGTACCCCATGTCTTCAATTAATTTGTAATCCCAGTGTACAGACTGAATTACGGAGGTGCCTTTTAACTAATCCCTACAGGAAAATCTCCTGAGCTGTTGGGGTATCACCTTACCGACCGCCACCTTCCAGTAGCACCCCGTGAGATCCAGCTGGATGGAAGTTTTTGTCATGGGCCTTACCAAGCGAAGAGAGGCAAAGGCCGTCTCTCAGAAGTTATTGAATAAAGGTGCTTGCTTCTAAATCTTCTAGGAAAGCCAATTGACAGAAACTGCATTAGATTGGTCAAGAAATGACGCGAGTCTAGTATTTTTATATACTTGGTGCTACATAAAATGAACCAAAGGTGTTTAGCCAGGTGTCATGTGTCCTCCAAAGTAACACCAAGAATGTGACAGGTCTCCATCGCTGCTGGTGTCACAGGACTGCCTGGGTCATGCTGCAGGGAACTTTGTAGCAAATTTTGCCGAAAACATGCGGAAAAACTATTTGGCTTTGACAAGCAGACAAGATGCAGGCAAATGGCAGGAAAGAACTGGATGCATCCTCATTTCTAAATGGGAGGTGAATCCCAATGACTAACGTTCCCCGTGCAATGCAAGCCATCTGCCCAAGCTAGGAAGTGAACTGACAGGCCCGTAAGTTGGATGAAACCGTATTACTGCCTGCAGAAACATACTCAAAAGGGACCGCATCAGCCCGCTTAGCCTTTATGAAGCTAGTGCTTTTAAAACATCTGGTTTTATATAGCCCCTGTGTGCTACTCAGGGCTAACTCAAATAGGTGCAAGTGTTGTAACAGTCTGCTAAGCAGCATTTGTTGTTCTTCAGTTGTAAATTAAGTTCTTGCCCTGAACAGCCTGCTGCCTTGATAGTTTCCTTGAGGCTGATGACTGCCTGGCAGAAGCTGTTAAAATCAAGCTAGAGAGTAAGAAACAAACATGCAATCCAGCAAAGGTAATGAAGATGATGGTTGGTTTAACCACACCAACAACTGGAAAAGGAACTATGCAAATTTTCAAGCCAATTTAAAAGAAATTATTTAACATATTGAAAATTATTAAGGTGATTAAAGGATCGCAGCACCTGTCAACAAGGCTGAGAGACCTGGGACTGTCAGCCTGGAGAAAAGAAGGCTTGGGAGGGACCTTATCAGTGTGTATAAATACCTGTGGGGGAAGAGTAAAGAGGGTGGAGCCAGGTTCTTCTCAGTGGTGCCCAGTGGCAGGACAAGAGGCAATGGGCACACACTGAAACACAGGAAATTTCTGAAACACAGAAAAAGCTTTTTTTACTCTGAGAATGGTTGAACACCTGTACAGCGTGGCCAGAGGTTGTGGGGTCTCCATCCTTGGTGATCTTCAAAACCTTCCTGGATGCAGTCCCAGGCAATCCGCTCTAGTTGACCCTGTTGTGAGTGAGGCAGTTGGACTAGACGGTCTCCAGAGGCTCCTCCTGACCTTAACCATTCCGTGATTAGAAAAGAATGGCTTCCTAAAGGAGTTTAACTGGGTTTTTTAGGGTCTTTTATCAAAAGATGAATATTTCCTCAATAAAAATGAAATTATTGTCCAGACTGGTATTTAGTGACATGCAACACAATATAATTACAATTAATTAGTGCTTCAATGATCTAATGAAGTTAAATGCAACCTAATCTGCTCCAGCATACCTTAGTGGAAAAGACTGCAAGGGGAAGAGGGGTGCCCTCTTGACATTATTTGGGCTTTCAGCAGCTGCTGGTGGTTTTGAAACCTTTGCATTCTCCGTTTTCCTGGCATGCTCCAGCTCTCTTGGCTGCACCTGTGTCCTCTCCAAAAGCAGCTGCTGTGGCCTGTGGTCTATTTAATGGGAGCCACATGGCCAAAGTAGCTCAGCACTGAATGCACCAGCTTGCTGCTTTTTTCTCTCTTTGAATATGTGCATCTTATAAGAGCTCAAACACAGAGAAGTGGCTTCTGAGGCTCTTCAAGGTCAAGAGGTAAGAAATTCTGTGTTTACTGACTATTAAGTAGTAAAACAAAAGTAGGGATTTGAACGTGACTTTTCTCTTGTCCTACTCCAGTGATCTGCTGGCTTCCAGCTCCATCCATTGCTTTCTTCCTTCTCCAGGTTTAAAGATTTGACTTAAAGAAACGTTAGTATGATATGCTGATACTGCCCGTTCTCACAGCTTTGATGAACCCATGGGTTGGTTAGGATGATCAGGCATGCCTGAAGTTAAAGGGATGCTCTGCTAGGTCTCTAGGGGGAAAGTGAGAGACGGAACCTCTTTGCAAGCTCTGCTTCCCCCAGGCAAGGTAATAAAATCTCCCGTGTTACTGGTAAGGTTTGTGTGGGGGTATCTCCCTCAGGCTTTGGATAACCAGGGTTAGAGCCAAGCCAAGTGGTGGTATTGTGGTGCAGCAATCTGTGAAGCCGGACCAGGGATATTGTGCATGCCGGCTCAAAAGACAGGAGGGTGGTGAGCGAGCGTTGTGTTGCAGGCTGGGATGGCTGTGGTCAGGTTTCCTGGACACTTGTACGCCTTGCAGCCACTGCAGGTCCCAGGCTTACTAAAGCGCACAGCAGTGACAAAAGGCAGGTGTAAGGCAGTGTGTGCTAGATACTCCTAGCACAGACATAGGGAGGGACTGAATGGGCTGGGGTTGCTCACCACAGCCACAGCTTCTTTGGAGATTGGTAATGAGTCAAACCTGCAGCCAGGGAAGTGATAACTGATGGATGTGAAGTGGTTGATTTGGCTTTTCTTTGTCAACTGTTTGATTCCCCACCAAGCTTCTTCAGTGACCAAAAGCCAGAGTTGTCCAAGCTCTGAGACACTGGGTGGCCAGATCTGCATGGTGGAGATCCAGGTGGTGGTTTTCTTGCTAGGTGGGCTGCAGTAGTGCAAGGCTAATGTTTTTAAAATCACACAGTTTGTATGCTGTTTTGTGAAAACGGATAGCAATTATTTCAATCTTAAAGCTGGGACACACTGTCTCTCTCTGATTTATCCTAATCCTTCCCCTGGCATGGTGGGCATTCATACGGGTTGGATGAGGTCTCACAGGTGCTGTTCATCCTGGCAGCTCTTCATGAATCCCAAACTAAAGCTCATGTGTGTTGTTTCCTTCTAAAATAGTTTGTCACAGATGCTTTTGCTGTGGTCCTTTAGTATCTCCTTCCATTTGCTTTGGCATTTGCTCTTCAGACTTGTTCAAAAGCCACCTTGCCCAGTTTGCTGGGTCATTGTTGAGCAGGAAAATGCTCGCTGGTTTTTAATGATTCTTTGCTCCAGCTCTCCCTTCTCTATCTAATAATCGTTACTCTTGAAAAGCTTTGCATTGCCTGTGCCTTTGGTGGATTTCTAGGACTCAAATATGGATTTGAGGGCGGAGGGGGGGAAGGGAATTGAGTGATGTAAGCTCTGGGCTTTCACTAGCTGCATCTTGATTAACCTGCTCTGTTACAATAAATCCAAGATACTCCTTCTTCTGGACGTTCTTAGTGGCTTGCATATTACTTCAAGGCATGAAGAAAGGACAGTTACTTGTGTCTCTTCACCATCCCATACTGTGCCTTAGGCTTTGCAGTTTGTTAGAATGTGCAGTTTTGGGGTGTGTGTGTGTGAATTGGGTTTTTTTGCTTATTCCTCAACTTGCTCCTGGTGACGGGCAATTCTCTACCTCTGTTGGTTGAGCTGCCGCATTGACAGAATCTAGGCACAATCAAAATTTCTTGTTGTAGTCTGACTGAACTGTGGCAGTGTTTTACCTGTTCTGCACCTCCTGAGTGTTTTCTTCCCTAAGCAGAAGTGGGAGAGTGAAGGTGCTCTCCTGAACTTGTGTCAGGCAGTGCTCGTGTGAAACTGTGGCTTCTTCTGTTTTATCGACCTTCAGCACGAGCAGTGCGAGTAGGAAGCCTCTTCCTGGAATTCATAAGGTACGATGAGTGGCCTCTGCTATCTCATGAGCTTTTTAATGATAACTGTGAGGGTGCAAATCTACCCGATAAGTGACTTATTCGTTAGCAGTGGAGAGGGCTGCTGCTGAGCTTCACCTTTGCTGCTTCATCCCTCCTGCTTTGGGTAACGCCTTGTTGAGAAATGGAGGAAAACCGAAGCAGCAAGGGAATCGCATTGAGAAGCTGACTTAGTCTTCTAGCCATGATGGAGCAGCCCAACTGTCCTGACTTTGATCTGCAATTGTAGAAAAGCTCAGTTTCCTGGCAGTTTTTTTATCTATTTCAAATTCATAATACCAACACACACAGGGCATAACACGACTTCTCTGAAACAGCAAGTCTTTTGCAAGATATTTATTTTAGGCTTCTGCTGAACACATGAATAAACCAGCAAAAGAAAGAAATTACAATTATGACAATGATGAGGTCAATCTTAGAAAGGAAATTGTCTTGAGAGCAGCCACTTAAGTGAAATTGTCACTTGCGTACATTCACATACACAGCGGGATGCAATCGATTAATGGCTCCTTCGGCTTGATGGGAGGTGGAGAAGCAGCTGCCTTTGATTTTTAGCCTTCTTGCACACCGATGCTTTCCACCGGGGAGTGGTAAACTGGAATATTCTGACCATCCCGCAGTTTCAAGGTGACATCCTGAAGGCACCAGCTGACACAAACCAAAAGAGATTTTTAACTTGTTTCAATCACTTCTAATATTGTAGTAAAGTTGGTGTAGAAACAGCTGGCATGGAGAAACAAATCATTCCACGCGTTCATTGCTCTTAAAAATTCTCTCAAGTGTTTTAAAACTTGGTTTGCGATTGCCAGCTTCTGAAAGCTGTTTTCCCTAATAGCACAGCCCAGATTTAAAGGTCTGGGATGTGTGTTCCTGTTTGTTGCAACCCGAATAAAATCCTGCCAGCTATTTTTAGGCAGGACATTCTTCCCCCCGCCGCAACCCGGTGCCTTTCTTCCTCTCCATCCTGCGGGTGCATTCCTTACTCTGCTCCTCTCCAGCCTTGGAGCCAGACCGTGTTGCTAAGGAATTATCCTGGCTTGGAGGAGTTTGAACACTGTGTGATCACTCAATGTGACTGCTGAAACCCTGACGGGGTATGAAGATGGTTACTCAAAGGAGAGGGGAAACTGCGTTTGTTGGATGCTGAGGGGGAGCCTTTTCCTTCCTCTAAGCTCTGCTCCAAACCCACTTCTGTGAGACTGCTCATGCTGCTTTTCCAGCTGGGAAGGACTATTATTTCGGGGTACTAAGATAGGATTTTTTTCAAAAGCTCCTGGCACTCGCCCAGCTCTGCTTTAGCTGGAGTCAGTGCCGAGTACATACAATTAGGTAATTAGGCTGCTGCACCTCTGTGCAATGGGTCTGCAGCAGGGCTCTTCCCTCACCAGCCCTCCGCCTCTATCCGACCCGGGACAAGCAACTACCTCATTTAAAACAGGGCTTGAAGGAGCAACTGGTTGCTCCCCTCAGCATGGCCTGGGGTCTCAGCACCCTCCGCCTCTATCTGACCCTGGACAAGCAACTACCTCATTTAAAACGGGGCTTGAAGGAGCAACTGGTCGCTCCCCTCAGCATGGCCTGGGGTCTCAGCCCTTCCCTCTGCTCCCTTCAGGGCAGGCAAGCATCGCTTTACAGGACTGGTGCCTTGGCCGCCCTCACCTCTGGGCACCCTCCCCATCCCTGCGCTGCCTGCACCTGAGCGAACGCTCCCTTCCAGGTCCAAACCAGCTCACACACTCCCAATCTCCCTTCTTTTCAGTTGCCCTCTTTTTTTAATAACCACATAAATAAATAACCCCTGATGGACAGACTGCTCCTTCAGAGTCTGAAGCATTTCAGTGGCTTGGGAGCCTCAACTACTTTTGCAGAGAGAGCTCACCTCCCAGTGCTGTTTTAGTGTGTCTGTATCAGTCTGGTTGCCTCCCACATCTTCACTGCAAGAACCCACGTGCACGCTCTGCAGAGCCCCACCAGGATGGCCCACTTACACGTTTGTTATTTCTCTCAGGGATTTCGGGAGCTCCTCTTTGTGGAGCAGATGGCAACAAGCCATTTTACTCTTAGTTCCTCAGCTGGGTGCAAGGACACTGAGTCCTGCCTAGCCCCAAGTGGAGCTGTGTGCAGGACCCCACATGTAAGCCAAGACGGTTGAGTCTGACAGATCTGTCTGCCACAAACCCTTTTACAGAAGATGCTTCCCCCCCCCCCCCTTAAGCTTGCAGATGAAAATGCATGGAGGTTTTTCCGCCCCCCCTCTTAAGCTTGCAGATGAAAATGCATGGAGGGCTCATTTTAAAATAAAACTCTGAGATGTATGCACTTCAATTACTCCCGTAGTTTAACATCTTGCAATTTCAGTTATCCTCACATAACTCAGTGAAACAGGAGGGAACTGTTATTTCCCTCCATCTGTGAGGAGGGGATGAGGAGGAGTGAGGAGATCGGAGCCCAGGTGCCCAGGGAAGTGTAGATGTGCAAGAAAGGTGGCTGGGGACCTCTGAAGGTATCTCTGGTCACTAGGGAGGAGGCCAGGTCTGGCCCTGAGCCTCTCAAGTCCCAGTCTAGTGCCTTCCTCCCATCACTTTACACCTTACTTCCCATAGCTATTCAGGAGAGAAATACAGTAAGTTGTGCTCATCTAACTATGAAAAGAAAACATTACCATATGGCTGGTGGCAGCTGAGCAAAAACGTAGCTTTGGGTTTCTAAATAGAGCTAACAGAAGTGCCTAACAAACTCTGAGAGCAAGTACATGTGAGGAGGTTTGCATCTAATGAAATTTCCTCTTTTGCAATGGAAGATGGACTTCGAATTCATGTAGTAATTCTTTGCTCAGCTCTAGGAATCAGTTTACCCTTGACAAGAGAGGCTTTCAGGCTTCAGCATTACAAAAATGTAAAGTCACTACTATATGATGTGGAGTCAGAGCATCCTTCTACTGTAATATATCTGTTCTAGCACTTTTTTAACTATAAAGACGTGTTTATTAGATAGCTTGAAAAAAATCCTGCATGATTTTTAGCTCACCTTGATAGGCTCTGATGTAATGTGTAAGATAATTCCCCTATTGCAATACGTGATGCTAGACTACAGTTAGGACTGCTATTCAACGGCCTTGCACCTTCTTGGGGAGGAGGGGTGGGAGGGGACAATACGTTATCTTGGCTCACAGTATTTGTGTATATACTGAGCTTTAGTTTGTAGAACACATTTCACACGAATGGCTCATGTTGTTCTGTTTGTATTTGTAGGGATGAATTCAGTATTTCTCAACTAATTTACATTCTTGTCGTAATGACGGTAATAACCTTTCCAAGACCTTCAGACATGAATTTCCTCTTCCTTTGTGTGCGTGATCTCAGCAACACGGATGACTAAAGCAAATATCCTGCTCTGCTCTTTTCTCCTACCACGTCTCTCCCTGTGCCTATGTGTTTCTTCCAGTACGCACCATTGACGAGAGTGGTCCATCTCTGAGTTAATATAGAGGTACCCCGCGGATTTTGTTCCAGATACCGGTAACTTTATCTGCAGATGTAAAAGTATGTTAAAGATTCAGTGAAGCATGTTACTGAAATGGGCCTTCACTCCTTCTATAGTCAAAGGTGCAACCCCTCCCTTTTAACGTAAACCCTAATTTTATTTTTTTTTAACGTATTTCAGAGTTTCACTAAGCTTTTCAAATGGCTAACGTGTGCATGGCTATACAAGTATGCCTGTTCTGCCATACATTAATCTCTCTCTGCTGAAAGAATGTACTGTGTTACAGCTGCAACCCCCAGGGAAAACCACTCGCTCTCTGAAATATTTATGAGCAAACACCTTTCCTTACCAGAACGCATGGTGATCCAGAGGTGACCTGCACTGTACTAGCTTCCCATAACCATAACAAGCCTGTAGGTTGAGACACTCTACAGATCAGTCCATTAACATGCATCACGGCAGCGAGATGTTCAATGATTTTTCTCAGTGTCACAAATTCTACCACTCAGTTGTTTAACAAACAAAGCTAGGAGCTGCAGCACCAACCACAGCTAATTGCACTTGGTCTAATGTTTGTATAAAAGAAATGTTTCAAGTGTAGAGTTCACTGGTGGTACTGCAATCACAAAGGGAAAATGCCAGGGGTTCTCCAACCAGCCCAGTAGGCAGCAGCTGGGGATGTTGTGGAGTCAGTAAATTGATCTATGATATATAATCATTAATGATGATTAACTAGTTTATTTCACGAGAACATGAATGCTCATAAGCATGAAAAAGCGGAGAAGAAAGTTGGTGGTTTGTGTCCTGGGTGAGGTCAGCAAAAGGCAGGGTTTGACTTCACCCTGAGTCACCTGAGCAACCAGCATTCTTAAAAGGTGATGCAGGAAAACATCAGTGGGACAGGTTCTCTTCTTTTCAATCAGCATAAGAGGTTGTGCTTTTTTCCCACATTTTTGGTCTTAGATATGTTGCCTTGTAGAATCTCTAAAACCTGGGAAATTGGGAAATGTTTTGGCCCAGGGTATCACGTGGGTGAAGCCTGGCTGGAGCGAGATGGAAAGTGGAAATTTTATGAGTTGGTTAAAGGTTGATTTTTCTTGCCCTGACAGCTCCCCTCCTTCACTGCAGCATCTGCCCCATTCCTTACTGCCCTTGTTTGGTCCCCAGGACTCAAAACTAGTCACCAGGAGGAACAAAATGATTCAAATGTGACGAGATCCCTCAGTGAGTTGCCTGGAGAGGTCACTAGGGACATTTTGCGTCACCAGCAAAACCAGGGAAGAGCAGCCTGGATTAAGGGGTAAAAACACTGATGGAAAGCCCTCTTCAGGCAGCAACCCAGAGTGGAAGCGGACTTGTGTTTGCAAGGTTTGCCTCGCCCCAACCCTGGGCTGACGCAAGGCAGCCTTGTGCAATACTTCAGCACCCAGCGCAGCATTCTCCAGTCACTGCGTAACCCCAGCACTCAGCCCCGTGCCAGGCAGCTGTCCTGACATACAGGTGCTTTTAAAAACCACACCATTTGTGCTGTACCACAGTGTAGCTGGTGAGTAGCTATGAATCTCTGTTCTGAATAAAGCTTTAAAAACTAGAGTGCGATGTATCCGGGGAGAAGAGGGAGGCAGCTGCTATTTTAAAGATGGATCTTGATACGTTTCTGAAAATGATTTTGTGGCTTACAGTAGCAGGAGGGGGATCGACTGACTTGGGAGATCCCTTTGCATTCTGTGATGTGCCCGTATAGCACAACATGAAGATGCCGCTCTTGGTGTTTCTAGTCCCTCGCATTAGAGCACAGATTTATGCTCTGGAAATCCATTCCTCTTCCAAATCAACTGGCATCCCACCCTACTGCCTTCCAGTGCCCCCAGGTCACTCGTGACCTGCTGAAAATCCCCTAGCTGATCTCTTGTCACCCAGCGCCTTGGGAAGCCACCCTGTGACACCACCTCCCCAGTGTTACCTGTGCTCTTTCTGTGTCCACGTGGTTACTCCCATCCGTCAGTCGGATGTTGTGAACCTTAAGAGGGGGGGCACCCAGGGCTTCCAGGGCATTGGGATTGTTGTTCAATTGCTCCAAAGCCTGCTGATAATACTGGGTCCTGGCAAAACTCTCTAGGTGAGAGAAACAGGGTAGTGAGGAGACTGTCCACTTAAAATCAAAACTTAAGTTAAAAAAAAAAAAAGACATTTCCTCCAGACTCCACACCCTCCCTGAAAAACACTCTGAAACTATTAATTAGGAGAAATCTGGCTAAAGGAGGAAACACACCCTTACATCAGAGCAGCAGTGCTGAGCTGTAATGTTATTCAGCTCACATAAGTGAAGAGGGCTCTGAAAATAGCCTGTTCTATACTGATATACAGTTCCGCTTATGGCTGTGTCTCCCTACTTTTCATACGTTTGTACGTCATCTAAAAGGACCAAAAAAAAAACGGGGGGAAAAAAAGCATAAGGATGAACATCTGAAAATGTTCTGAATGTAATTATTTTTTTAAAGGAGGTACAGAAAATACTTTAACAATGGAGAATATTTCGCAGACATTGGTGTGAGACAGGAACAGCTGCTGCTGTGAAACTCTTGCTGTGGTCTTGATACAGCTTTTCAAGTGGCAGCCACGAAGCTGCAACTCTACTGATGGATGCATTAAAAGGGAGGCACAAAGAAGCACCATTAGAGTTAATGGTCAAGCAGCAACAATAGCACAGTAGACTGGATGCTGCAGTGTTGGCATATGGAGGGCAATTGTAGTAAATTGCTATTTTTCAATGTCTGGTTACTATATATAGCTGGGAAATGCTGTCCATTGGTGACCACTGTGCAATGCAGATCTGTGAGGCTGGAAATGTGCCGACTCTCCTTATGGAGGCAGAGACTTGCTTATAAACAGTTTTGAGGCTTGCCTGCTGAGATTTCTAGATGTGCTTCACGCCAGCCTAACTTCACTCTCTTGACATCAAGAAGGGCAGAGTTAAGCTAAGAGTGTGCATATGTGAAAATCCTACTCTGGCAACTATGCTCTTGCCTTCCAAAGAGTTTAAAACAAGGTGTAAGGTTTGTTTCCTGGTCTCTTGCCTATCGGTATTGCTCTTGGAGCGTGAGGCAGAAGGATGCTGCCCCCTCTCCCTAATTAGAGGCATCCCCTGTGAGCAGGCAGCATCCAGTTGGCATAGAAACAGCTTTGCTAGGCTGCAGGCTGCGCTGGTCCTCCCTGGCCCCCTGGGCCATCCTAAGGAGCCCCAGCAAAAGGGGTTGCAGCATGCCAGCCCTTTAGTGCCTACGGATCATGGCAAGCAGCCACCCAGACCCCATTAAAAGTAGGTTGTGTTCATCCTGCAGGTTGGAGGGGAAACGGGTTCGAGTTTCCTGGTGCTCCTTCTCAGCTGTTCCTTGTTAGCATCCCGTGTATTGGACATAAAATGCCCGACTAATCCGTTTGTCCGCATGTTTCATCTCTCAGTAGGAGAGCTGACAGGGTGCTGGGGTTGGCTGGGGAGACTGCTCCTGTGAGGAGGGTGTGGAGGTGAAGAGAGTGAGTAGAAATAGGATTACCTGAGTGTGTGTACAAGCTTTCACAGAGACCACGTGCATGCAAACTTCCCTTCAGCCTGAAGGGGAGGGAAGCACCCCTTCTCCCCCTGCTCCCACCACTACGGAAGCCACTTGTTCCTCACAGGTCCCAGTATGGGCCAGTTCTGTGCACTGGGATAGCAGAAGGAACTAGGATAACCCTGGGTGTGGGCCAAGGAAGGAAGGCTCCCAGTGTGGCTCCGCTGCCTGTTGGAGGCTACAGAAAGACACACTCTGCAGCAGAAAGTGTCCTTTCAACAGCCCAGCTGGCTTGTCACAGCTGCTCGGTGGCCACCAATGTTGCAACAGAGCAAGAAGTAGCCATTGCGTTGTGCCACTTGATTGCACAGCTAAGTGATGTGGGGAATGAGCTCTTTGACTTTCTGTACAGCACAGGGGGTGACTTCCCCCCCCACCCCCCCGAGATTTCTAGATAACAATGCTGAAGCTGAAAATTAAAAAATGCTGATGTCCTTGTTAAAGCCAGACTCAATATTTTAAAGCGTAAGAGGATCATATATCTGTCATGTACTCCAGAGCTCGAGGGCATGAGCTGCCTAAAATTAAAGCTTGCTTTCCAGCCTTGTCTGATTTGTTAAAATGAAGGGCAGGTTTCAGAGCTTATCTGAGGGCTTGAGGAACAGGCTTGGCTACACTTTTCTGGCAGCATCCTCTGATATAAGGGTAGGTGAAAAGCAGTATCATTTGATAGTACCAGCAAGGGAGAAGCATAGAGCCAAGAGGCCTATAGCACCCCCTGAGGGAGAGGCAAAGCCTATTTCTGGTCTGATGCTAAATATCTAGAAGTAATTTTAGAGAAAATAAACATCTATCATTTGGACTAATAATTTGGATTCTTAGCCAAAGATACATAGCAACTAGAGCTGTCTATAAACAGCAATGGCACCTGTCTAGCTTTTCTCTCCTTGTCCTGGTCTTCTCAATGCTGAGCGCTCTTACCTGCCCTTCATTCAGGAGAAACTAATGGTATCTTAGCACTTCACAGGCATGTTGTGTTTAAAGGCCAGCACCACAGAGAGATTTACAGATAAAACCCGCTAGACTTTAATACCTTCTCACAGATGGTCCTCCTTTCCTGCCCAGTTGTAAAATCTCAGTAAGAAATGAAACCTGCACTACTGCCTAAGCTTTCACTTTGCCCTCACCCTCAGGAAACCCCCCAGAAACCAGACTTTCTCCTGACCACAGCAGCCTGCTTCCTATGCAATACCAACCTCTGGAAATGCGTGCAGCAGCGCTTGGGAGAGCAGCAGCCCTGGGGCTGAACAAAGCGGAGCCCACAGAGGCAGAACCCAGAGGCTCAGCCACACTTCCCTTCGCTTCATCTGCTTTTCACATCTTGCATGCTGCTATTTTCCCCGCTACACAAAAGCAAATGAAAGGGGCAGAGGAGAAATAAGGTTGCTAACAGCACCAAGACTTACTTTGCATAAGATTATACATCACGATGCATCCCCCGCCGCTGAACAGTCCCATGAAAACAGCCATTTGCTGCAGTTTTCTTAGAGAAGCTGGCATTTTTCCTCCATGAAAAGAAAAAGTGAAGACATTTGTTGTAAAAGAAGAAAGCTAAAGGGTTATTTCCCCCCTCCTCCTCTTTCCTAAGAGCCCTTTCCAACCAGGCCTGAATGAAAGCGTAGTGCACAGGCATCGGGCTCTCGCTCGATGGGGCCCCACCGCGCGCCCAGAAGGAAGGGTGGTGAGAACAGAGCAAACCGGGGACCCAGCCGGGTTGAATGTGTTTATTCAACTTCTTTTAGCGATGCCACCACTTCGCTAATTGCCGAGAAGAAAATGACCTCCCCGGTGTGGCCGGGGGCCAGCGCCGCGGCGCATTGTCACGGGGGCTCCCAGTGCCTGTGCGCTCACTCGCACACTGCGAGCATTCAGGCTCCGGGGGCCGGATTTCTCTCTCAAGTAAACTCCTCTAAAGTAAACATGCTCGCAGCAGGGCTGGATTTGGCCTGGAGTGGTAAGGGACAGAGCCAAGCCAGCGCTGTGCCAACAAAGATAATGGAGCCAAGGGCGTGTGTATTCTGTTGTGTTGTTTTTTTCCCAGGCCGTGGATAAACAGGAAGGCTCTTGCAAGCTATTTTTCTTTCTTCCTGTACCCCCCCGGCCCAAGCTTGCCCTTTTAATGAGTCACAATTTTGGCATTTGAATGAATGACCCAGCAGAATAAGAAACACCTCTGAGAAAGTCAATCTACTAAACGCTTCCACTGTTTGGGTAAGAGGGGGACTGCGTGGCCTGAAGAGCCTGAGCTAATGCTCCTGCCCACAGCAGGTTAGCAGGAGTCGAGCTGAGTCGTCAGTAGGAGTGTAGCACGTTGCTTCAGGCTGTGGCAGGATGGGACTTGACCGAGCATCCGAGTATCGGCTTATGCTCTTGCTTCTCTCGCAGCTGCGATTGTAGGGAGGAATGCTCTTGAGAGCAATTTAAAAAAAAAAAAAAAACAAACTAGCAAAAGGCTGCCCTCTTTGATGTAGGCACATAGACACCTGAATACTTGGGGAAGCTGTATGGGATTTCTCATCCCACAGGCTCCACACCTTGATCCTTGTGCCACGATGGTGTGACTTAAGTGTTACACTCAGCGAGAGCTGGTTAATAAACCAAGGCCCAAACCAGTTACAGAAATGTGACCTGGGCAAGGCCGTTTGAGTCCTGTTGTGAAAACCACCTCTAGCATCCCTCAGGTATGCGTTAGTCAGGTATTGCTCAGCTGACAACCACAGTTTAGAGAGGGTGCAGAGGCAAATGTCGGGACTCCTTCCCATCATGGCTGGGTCAGGGTGACACGGGCAGCCTCTCACTGCTCTGCAGACATGCCCATACACCATCTTTTGCGTCCTCTAGCCTGAGGGAAACCGTGAATGCAACCCAGGTACAACTTTCATCTACTGCCCTGTCGGCACTAGCGTTCAATCGTAACGCATGCTATCCCTTAGTCGAAGGCTTTCCTTGGTAACTAGTTCCCTTGATTTTAAGAGCTCTTAAAGTTTATTGTTTAATTTACTTCAAATATATGGATGGCTAGTAATGGTAGCAACCCAGAGAACCACGTGGGCATTATGTCTATTTTATGCCCCAAAATCCCCAAATTGTGCCATTGGTACAGTCAGTCATCATCTCTCTCACTCCTGATCTGTTTCTCTGACGAGTTTTCTTCTTCACTTCCCCTGGGGAACTTGAGTGGTGTGAGAAGTTGCAGCAGAGGAAGTATGAGTGTGTTTTTACAGAGAAACAGTGGCAGTCATTTCAGAAGGACAGTGAGAGCTTTCTGCTCACCCATTTGTGTTTGCAACTTTCCTTAAATCGCAATTTATAACATTATTTTCCCCCCTCAAACTGCAAAATCTGATTAATAACTGAGTTTCCTGTTAGATCTGTCCGGCCAGGAGGATGATCTGACACCAAAACCACGTAACAGGGAGAAAAAAAAAAAAGGTGGCAAGTCTGGAGAGCGGATCAGCTATAACAGGCTGTGACCCACGGCATTTGTTTTTGCCCCTTTCAAAGTTGTGGCCAGGCAAAACTTGCTTTCTGTGATGAAATTCAGGGTAATTGAACGCAAACGTCTGGGGGTGGGGCATGCTGCTGGCAGTTTGCTGAGTAAAAGTGGGAAGATACTGAGCTCTTGCACGAGCACGGAGGTTTTGACTGAGGCTCAGGGGACCTGCCTAGCAAAGGGCGGAAATTAGAGGCTCTGCAACTCGCTGTCAGTGGGTTTGAGGTTTGTTAGGTCTCACGGTCTGCTCGCACCCAAACAAGGGGGATGGAAAGTAAGAGGAGCTTTGTTGCTGATCAGTCATGTGCTTGCACATGCTCTCATCACCACCTCCATTCGCAGCAGGTCAGCAGCCACAGGTGCCCCAATGGTGCCGTTCTGAGACGGTGCCATCTGGCAAGGGGGCTTGGCAGCTGAGAAATGGTGATCCCGGTAAGCACTGCTGCCCCATGCAGCACTCCCAGCTGCTCCTGATGTGCTGCCCCTGCCTGCAGCCATTGCCTGTTGCTGGTCCTGGTGAGGCAGGGATGTGGGGGGCTGAGGTGCACCCAAGTTGCACAGCCCGCACTGGCTCTGCGAAGGTCCTCGTTGCCGTAACAGGGAGAATATCTCCATTGCTTGCTTTCGGTCGCAGTGGGAAGCCCGCAGGCTGGACCACCCCATCCCCAGGCTAGCACTTGATGCTCTCATCCTACTTGTTTCTCAGCTGTTTTCCCAGGCCAGTCCTATGACAGCACGTTGTGGGAGGAGGTTCAGAGCTACGCGCTTTAACAAACCTCTCAAGACCTTGCAAACCTTCTCTTTGATCCCACAATTCCCTGTTAGCTTCCAAAAGCAAGGACAGAGCTGTCCTTGGAGCCCAGTGCATCCCTCACAGGGGGGCTGCTGCTCCCTTCCCTGCCATCATGGTCCCTTGCAGCATGGATGTCTGGATATTGCATCCAAATCCTTGAGCATCCTTTGGCATGCAGCTGCTGATGACTTCTGAATGATGACACTGGGGATACTAATGGTGTCAGCTTGTGGAAGACCAAAACGGAGTAAGGAGCTGTTGTCTGTGAGGACTCATTGCTAGGATTTCTGCCCTCTGGCCAACTGTGTTTGCTGCTCCCATCTGCTGCTCTGCTGAAGTGCCATGGAGGTGGCTCGCTAGGGAAGGGAAGCAGAGACATGCCCAGAGGCGTGCCTCCTGTCCTGAGCCTTTCTGAAAATTACAGCCTGCAAAGCGTAGAGGCTATTAAAGGGAAGGACCAAACCCCCTTGACTTCATTCACCACAAAGGGAGTAACTGTAAGACAATGTATTCAGGAGAATCTTATAGATACAACGTGCAATTGCCTCCTAAGGAGGGAAGTTCATGTTGCTATCTGTGGTGGAGATCTCCCCTCAGAACCTGTTATACCACTAAAAAGTATGCAAGTCAACTGGTGGAAAAAGATTTCTTCACAGCTGGTAATTAAAAAAGCACAATTTCCAAGCTACGCTATTCTGCAAAAACATCTTTTCCCCTATGCTATTTGCAGCGGTAAGAAAGATTAAGTGGAGATTAGCACACACAAAACCACTGAGTCTACATTTACCAAAAGAAGAGACATTAAATCTTTATAAGTAGTGTTCTCTAAAAATAAATATTAAAGAGCAGAGCTTCCTAATAAGGGCGATGTTCATTTTGTGCCTTGAAAATAGTAAGATATGGTGGAGAAGGTAGTATTCAGTATCGACTTTGAAACTAAGCAGGACTCAGGCAGTTAACAACAAGATTTAACAAACCCAGAGAGGTGGAAGACTCCCAGGGTCACATGTGAAATGGTGGGTTACTGCAACAATAAAGTCTGTTTTTAATTAGACTTTGTTTTCTCCACAGAGGATCTTCTAAAAATAGGCTGGGCTTAAGAGATTCTCCCTTATTTCAGCCAATTCCGATTTTCTGTTTTGGTCTCTGAAATTCATGTGGTAGAGGTTGGTCTCGGGCACCTCCACCAAAGGCAGGTAGTGATAAAGCAAGGGCATTTTCACCAAGCCACAAACATTCATTTTATTTGCCTCAGACCCAAGTGAGGGAGCTGGGGCTGCAGGTTCTTTGGGGAAGGCATTTCCTCCTCCTCTCCTCTTCCTCCTGGCACTACCAAGCTCCACCAGCACCTCCAGCTTCTGGGTGCTATCGCAGACCAAACAGTAAAGAATAATATTGCTCTGAAATCAGAGAGAAGCAACTTGATCCATGCAAACTCAGTGTGATCAGTGCTGGCTGTCTCAATTTGGGCCACTGCCTACCCACCTGGCCAAGACAATATACTGCCAGGCCACCAATACAAGCAGCTGGGAGTCTTTAAACCACTTTGAACCACTGTAGTCCTGAGGTGTCGGCATGACACACTAAATATGTGTGGCAACAGACTACTATTAAATTAGAACTTATCAATAGGCCTGAACGCAGACCTGAGCATCTAACTTCAAGGCTGGAACTGTTGCCTAGCCATTCTTCAACGAAACTCTCCCTTGGGCTGGTGGGATTTGAGTTGGACCCAGGTCCAGCTTTTCTGCAAGCCACCCAGGTAGTCATGGAAGTCACAGGAGATGAGGGTAATGTCAGGCAAACCACGCACAAGCACACACTTGTATTTCACATTCTTGCTCTCTTGCCCAGCCATTGATCTTTTAAGATCCATAAGGCATCTGGGTGTGAGCCAATTTCTATGCTAATAACATGCCAGGACAACATTTTAGAGACAGTTTCTTGACACTCACTGTCTACAAAATACCTTCGTCATCGGTACTGTCACCAACGAGAGGACAGTACAGCAGAAGTGTTTTGACAGGATCATCATTTCAGCATATTATTTTCCCCTTTTTCACGGAAATAGTCTCAACATACTATTTACCTCATTTCTGAGAAGTAACAGCACAAATTGTGCTCCCTGCCACCATGTTCAGAAATACCAAAGACTTTGCATGCACGATCTGCCTTCACCAAAACCTCAGCAACTTGTAGGGAAGAAGTTTGCTTAAT